ATAATTTGGTACCACAGGTTTCGGGTCCGGCGGAGCCATGAATGTTTGTAAGGGTTCGAAATCCCCTTAAACCGTAGGTCCCGGTTTAATAGGATCGCAGAGCGTTGCAGGGGGTAGTGCGACTCGCGTCCGTAGCCTATCTTCAAGCTACACGTACCCCTGAGTAGTGCTAGGTGAGTGACAGTGGTGCAGCCTTTGCTTATGGAATACAGATGAACTGTGTCTGTATTGCCAGCTGCATTGAACAACAATATTTATATAATTAATTATAAAGGGCTGTTTACCCACTTTGCGTTTGTTAAATAATATACACTTATAGACTGAATATAAAAAAGTGAAAGAAAAAAGCCACGTTTCTCAATTCTGACAGAATTGCAATATCGAAAAGACTTTGCAATATAGAGAAAGACTATTCTACCTCATTGACCCAGTATTGCTACAATCCCAATATTCATTTTATTTATTGACGAAGAGGAAATACTTTCCCCTTAAAGAAAGAACCTCCTATTTACTGACCCTAAAGTGCTGATCGTTCAACTATTTTTTTTTTTTTTTAACGAACACACTGATGGAAAAATGATTCAAGAGAATATTTTCCAGATTTTAACCATTTTGACACTTTTTTCTTCTTCCTAATGCAGCTGGCAAATACTTAAACAATTGTCTTTCATGCATGCACGGACGTCACTCACTTAGCACTATACAGGGGGTGCATGTAGCTTGAAGATAGGCTGCGGACGCGGAGTCACACAACGCCCTGCAACCCTACTAGACCGGGATCTACGGTTTAAAGTGGATTCCGAACCACTACAAACATCCATGGCACCGCCGGGACTCGAACACGAATCCTGTGGTACCGAACGCCAGCCACTCGGCCAAACAAGTCCTTGGTAAATAATATACACTTATAAAAAAAAAAAAAAAGTAAAAGAAAAATGTCTAATTTCAAAAGCGAACAGAACTGCAGTATCGCAGTGACCCCTCATAGACCCTGCATCACCCGCATTGATATCTAAATTATTTATTGAGAAGAGGTTATTACTTTTCCTAAAAGAAAGAACCTCCTATTTATTGACCCTACAGTGATATCACAGGCTACAGGTTCGAATCCTGGCGGTGGCATGAATGTGTGTGAGTGGTTCGGAATCCACTTTAAACTGTAGGTCCCGGTCTAATGAGCCTAAAGTGTGTACAAAATGACCATAGAGCAACAAACCAAACCCTACAGTGCTGATCGTTCAACTGTTTTTTCATTTCAAATTAGCTAATATGTGACGCTTTGATAACTAGATGCTCAGAGAAATAGGGTGATTCATAGCTGCAGAATATCAGATATTTTTAATTTTCACTCATGAAATGAAAGTACTCATGAATATATCCATCAACATACATTTATAATTCCTTTATTTTTCATATTTCCTGCGAAGTTCTATTTTTAACAAAATACACTGATGAAAAAAAAATTTATCGAGGGAATATTTTCGAGATATTTCAACACTAGTTTCGATACATTTTGCTTAATAAATATTGGTACTTACGTACTAACAGTACCTTGGCGACAGACTTGGGTTTTTAAGTGTCGCCAATGGAACCCCTGCAGATTTGGCGGTTTTTCAGTGGCGCCAATACAGTAACCCCTGCAGATTTGGCGCTTTTTAAGTGGCGGCAATCTTAACGGCTGTAGATTTGCGTATTTGGGATTTGCCAGAAACGGAGCACGATGCAATTTTATTTTTCCAGGAGCGAAATATTTTACCAAAACAACGAAAATGTCCCAATTCCCATGACATGAAACTTTATTTTGGTGAACGTAAGTTTTGGAAGTGCAATTTCAGTCAGTGTGCTCATCGTGTGGGATTCCGAAAAGACAACTGGTTTGAAGGAAGCAGAATTCCATTTCGTACAGCTTTGAGATTCATATACTGCTGGTGCGAGGAGTTGCCGTCGATTAAATTTTGTGAAAAGCAACTTGATATATCGGATAAAACTGTTATAGATTGGAACAATTACATGCGTGAATTATGTGTCTTGGATATGGTGAATAAACCAAAAAAAAAAAGGTAGGTGGACCAGATTGCATTGTGGAAATTGATGAAAGTTTGTTTACTAAACGTAAAAGTCGTTGTGGTCGGCATTTTTAAATCGTTTTGATTTTAAATGAAGTGTTTTATATATTTTATTGTTTTGATTTTAAATGAAGTGTTTTACATATTTTATTGTTTTGAATAAAAATATTTTGAAAGCGTTTTGATTGTTTTTAAGTGTGGATTGGCGCCACTTAAAAACCGCCAAATCTGTAGCGGCGGTTGGCGCGTTTTCACTAATTGTCGCCAAGGTACCGTTAGTACGTAAGTACCTAAATATTTAAAGATGCGGCGCCATGTAGGGAAAGAAAAAAGGTGATAAATGCACAGAAATCCAGAGGAAAGTTCAATCACAGATTCAAAATAATAATAACTTTGTAAAATAAAAAAAAAAAAAAAAAAACTTTGACAAACAGAATTGTGATTCGAGAAATTGTTAAGAAAAAAATTACTAAAAGTAAATATAAAATAAATAAAAGCTGAGAAAGTAAAATAGGATTAAATCCGTGTATTATATAATATTTGAAAAGAATTAAAAAAAAAAATAATACAATCGCATTAACTTTAAAAATTGAATATTTGAAAGAACATTAATTTGAATAATTAACTTTAATTTTAATTTTAATATTTTTTAATAGTTTAATGAAAAAAAGTAAATTAATTATTTTTATTATTAATATAAAAAATAATTAATGTTATTATTTTTTATTTTAAATTTTTTTTAAAGAAAATTTCTAATTTAAGCCATCAGATGCCGACTTAAAGTATAAAAGGGTTTTTGTTAATTAAGAAATAAATTAGATTCTATTTGCATTTTTCTTTTTGACAGAACATTAAAGAAAAATAACTTAGTGTTCTTGAAAAGAATATATAATAATTTTAAAATTCAATCTTATAGTTTTAAAGTTACATTGGAATACTGTACTTACATTTCAAATATTCATCTTTGAACTCATCTATTAAAATGCGCTTAAATATAATTTGCTTAAATATAATAGGTGCAACTATAATAAAATTTATTTAAATTATAATTAATATCTCATTCAGACAATGTCTAAATAAATTTTGAAATTTCAATATTCTGAGTTTTTGAAATTGCAAAAAAAAAAAAATATCGAGTCAAATTTCGAAATTGTATCAGTTTGAAAAGTTTAAACAGTGGCGCCATCTATTTGAGCTTATTGGAGTTAAAAATAAGATTAGTATAAAGATAATGTTTCTATGACAGAATTTATTATTTGTTTATTTTTTTGCTCGGTGCCACAGGTTTCGGGTTCGAGTCCCGGCTGTGCCATGAATGTTTGTAGGGGTTCGAATCCAATTTAAGCCGTAGGTCCCGGTATAATATGACTTTTGAGCGTTGGGCGTAGAGATGACAACCCAGAGTCAAAAAAAAAGTCAGCGTTACGGAGCCAAGTCAGACTTCTATCTACGGGTGCTCCATCACAACAGAAGCTGCCTCTTTCCCTTCAACAATGTGATCACACGGGTTCTTGGGCTTCTTCTAAATGTCTACCAAGTGGGATAAGAAATAACAACATTTACCAGTGTGGGATGAAAGACCTTTCGGAACAAATTGACTGTTAATACGAGACGGTTACACAAGCTGCTGCTTCGCCATCGCATCTCCTCGTTTCTAAATGCACTGAACGTCGACAGCGGATTCCAATTTGAGCCTCCTTAACTATTATACAATTATTTGTATTTAAAATCATTGATGCTTTCTTGTAAATTTGATTACATCATGTTTTATTACTGACTGCACTTTGTTTGAATTGTATGTGAAATCCAATTTAAAATCGTAATAGTAATGATAGTAGTAAGGACTAACAGTCAAGATTGTTGGCAAAATCGCCAAGCTACCATCACATATATTAAACTACAAAGGTCTGAAATTCATGCCTAAAAATTAATTCTATATGAGTGCTGAATATTCTACAGTGCAATATAAGCTCGTATTCCCACTGCGAAGCAAGTACAGAAAGTGATCAGTACTGTAGAAATTATTGGCAGACTGACCATGAAAGTGATCAGCTATTACGCCACTTTTGACAGTGGACAGTGCCGATTGTAAAAGTCACCTAAGTGACTGAGGTGATCACGTGAGGATTATGTTGGTCCCAAACTGGCAACACGATGAGAGCGCTATTTTATAACTACTCTATGATACCAACACCATCTCAAAATGATATTCCTCATAAAGCCCAAACCGAGCTCAAGGCAAATTAAATTCAAGGTAAAATTTAAGTGGAAAACAATTCCAAATTTAACATATATAAATAAACATAATTCTAAAGATATAGTTCTTAATAGCGGAAGATTCGCAACGCCATTTGAATCTGGAACAGAAACAGCAGACAGTAAAGTGTTCCTTTAACCAAGGAGATGTTTTGGAATACAATGAAAAGAAAAATATTTATGTCCAATATGTTCTTGATGGAAATTAATTTAGATTTTTAACCTTACTACATCTATTGGGTTGGCAATAAAGTAAGTTCTGTTTTTGCTGTCTACTTAAATGGTGTAAAACGAACGCCTTTCTTGCCAACCGAATAAATTGGCGAAATTTTAATATTGCTTTTTAGTGGGTTATTTTAAATAAATATGGGCACATTATGTAAGAAATATTGTTGTTATTTCTTATCCCACTTGGCTGGCCAAGCCCACGAGCTCATACGTACTCATGATTGAGGGGAAGGAAGCAGCTTCTGTTGGGATGGAGCACCCATAGTTAGAAGTCTGACTTTGGCTCCGTCACGCTCTTACAGTCATAGGAGACTGGGACCTACGGCTTAAAGCGGATTCCGAACCACTACAAACATCCATGGCACCGCCGGGATTCGAACCCGAAACCTGTGGCACCGAGCACCAGAGCGCTAGACACTCGGCCATTCAAGTCCCACATTTGTGAATGCCAACGGCACGCGGTGTTCCCAGGTGGTCACCCACCCAAGTACTGACCGCGCCCAATGATGCTTAATTTCGGTGAAAACCTTTTTGGACACGGAACCCCTTGCGACTGGACACGCGACTGGGGCTTATCTTCAAGTTACACGAGCCCCTGGGTAATGCAAAGTGAGTAACGTCTATGCAGCGCTTGCCTTAAGGCATCATAGACAAGTGTCTAAGTATTTGCCAGTTGCATTAGAACAAAAAAAAAAAAAATACATCTGACATCTTAAATTAAACCCAACGAAACAATCGAAATATCAGAAAAATTATTAATAAATAAATTACTATTGTAGCCGAGAATAGATTAATGAAAAGTTCTGAATCTTTGCTACTGTATTCGTGATAATTTCCGAGAAATTTTGTGGCTACTGTCATATTTGCGAAAAGGCTACTGTCATATGTTGGCTATTTTTCAATTCCTTCTATTAGCTCACACTCTCCCTCTATATATCTTGTTCACATTTTCAATCGTTCATGAAATACTTTTTTATTCATTCACTCGAGTTCAAATACATTTTTGAACTTGTAGTGGATTACACTGTATGTGAATGCAGTTTTGTCAAATGTTAATTCATTCATCAAATTTAATTAATTCATTTTAGTTTTATATGGGAGAAATATTCATATCTTCAAGCTGCTCTTTCTTATCATTTGCTCATCATTAATTAATTAATAATTAGTTAATAATCCCTTTTTCTTATAACTAATTATTCAATTCATTCATTATTAAATTTTTATTCATTTAATTATTAATTCATTTTTTATTATTCATTTAATATATATATTGTTTTTTTAAAATAATGTATTTAAGTTGATTTTAATTTAGCTTATTTTTCTGTTAGTATTCTTAATTTACGTTTGATTGAAACGATCGTGTTTGAGTATTCTTGGTAATGTATTCTAAATTTTAAAAAAAAGTTTTTAATTAAATTTGAAATATAGACTTATTTTATAAAGGCTTTTATTATATTTGACTTTTAAAAAGATTTGTTTTCTTCCTATATATATTTCCAATTTTCAATTATAAAATACTGCTCCAGTTCAAATGCATTTTTTTAACTTTTAGTGGATAGGATGGCAGTTTCTTAAAATATTCATTCATTCATTAAATTTAATTAATTCATTTTAGTTTTTTTTAGATTTAAGTTGCGTGTATCTAATAATAGAGGGCTCCGATAAAACTTAAAAATGAATGTAAATTATTTATAAAGGAATTGACTTTAAAAAATTTGTTTTTATATTATTTGTTTATAAATGCTATCATGAACGATAGATGGCGTAGTCAGCGCTAACGTCTTACATGACGCAACCGCTCTGAATGAATAATTATATGCTACGGGATCATTAGAGTAAGAAAAAGCGATGTAAACAATGTAAATTTGATTTGCGGGCTCTTAAGAGAAATGGTTGTTGATATTGAAATAAAGTATATTAATGGTAGGTTTTAACAAAATACATATAGCAGTTTTCAAAAGAGTAAATTTGTTTGAGATTTGTACAGAGTTTAAGTGTAAATAAATTTAATTTTTCAAGTATTTATACTTAAGTATTTATTTATGAATCATATTCTATTCCTTTACATTCTAACTATTCATGAATTTTTTTGCTTCTTATTTTCCCTCCAAAATGATTTTAAAATAAAATACCTGTTGATATGATATTTGGTATTTGGTATTGTTTTATTCTATTTGCGAAATAATCAGAGTTATAAACAAAATAACAATTATTGTATCTATTTGTCTTTAATAAGCTGATGCCTTAAATAAAGATATGACTCAGGAAGAAGGGCATTCTTAGAATGTCCAAAATCACTTCACACTTATTTTATATTTCATTCAAAATTATCAGAGTCGTCAACAAAATGACGTTTCTTGTACCTGTTTATCTTTAGTAATTAATCTTTAGCACTTTATTTATTTATGTTTCATCATCATCAGTGGCGCAACAGCCCCATGATGGGCCAAGGCCGTCTACCTACTGGCAGATTTCGAAACATGAGATGTCTTCTTTTTTAAAGGGTAAGTTTGTCAGCCCTACCTACTGGTCATGTTAGACAGAGACCAACAAGTGGATTCGAACCACTGCAAACATCGATGACACCTCCGGGACTAGGACGCGAAACCTGTGGCACCGAGCGCCAGAGCCATTCAGGCCCATTTATTTATGTTTAGTGAGCATAAATGTATAAAAATAAAAATAAATATAAAAATGTATAATAAGTGTATGATTTCAGAAGAAGAATTTCTTGGCATTTTCAGAATTGTTTCCCATGGAGATACAGTCGCCGTCCGATGGAATTGCAACAGTGGAATGTTCGCATTATTAGGATCTCCTTCCGTTCTCTCTCTCTCTCTCTCGCAGCATCCGATCACCCCCTCTCCCCCTCCCATGGAGATGTATAGACAATAAATCTATTCTCTATACATTTCCATGGATAAATTCTCTCCACTCGTGCTTATTATATCAATATGCACATGGGTCGTTGTCCTATCTAAACAATAGCCACTACTTTCCTTGAGTGGGGCCTGAATGGTCGAGTGGCTAGCGCTCTGGCCTCAGTACCACAGGTTTCGGGTTAGAGTCCCGGCAGTGCCATCGATGTCTGCAGTGGTTCGGAATCCACTTTAACCCACATGTCTCGGTCTAACAGGATCGAACAGCGTTGCGGAGATACTCCGCGTCCACAGCCTATCTTCAAGCTACACGCACCCCCCGGTAGTGCTAAGTGAGTAACGTCGGTGCAGCGCCTGCCTTAAGACATCGAAGAACAAGTGTTAGCCAGCTGCATTAGAAAGAAAAAAATTATATTTCATTCAAAATGATCAGAGTCGGAAAACAAAATGTTCTTCTACCTGTTCCTTTTTTAATTAATATTTGGCACCTGTTGTATTTATTTATGAGCAAAAATGTATAAAAATAAAAATAGAAATTTTAAATGTATGACTTGAGAAGAAGAATTTCTTGGAAATGTTCAGAATTGCTTCACAACGTGTTTTTCGCTTTGTAAATACATGATTTAGCACCATGATTCACCTGATGTAGCACCGCGCGACTTGTGGCTATTCTCAAAAAAGACCACTTCGGGGACATCGTTTTGTGTCGATTGAAGAGATTCAATGTGAATCGGCGCACGCTTTGAAGGTCGTCTCTGCCGATGACTTTTGAGCATGCATTGAGGATGGGAAAAAAAGTCGACAAATGTGCATTGTGTCCGGAGGGGATTCCTTTGAAGGCGATGAAATAAATTTGAAAGAATAAATGGAGAGTTTTTGAAAAAATAATGGGTCTTACTTTTCGGGCACAGTAGTATGCGCTCAGGGAAAGGAATCCAAGGGCAACACTAACTGTAGTATGAAAAGGACGTGAGTTGTTGCCCTCCGACCTTTTCTTCTTTTAGAACAGAGGGACGCTTTCTATTATAGTGCATCTCCATGGATAAGAATCCCTCCATGATTAAATCCAGTGAGCACATGATGTAAGTCGTTGTCCCATCTAAACAATAGCCATAACTTTCCTTGAGTGGGGACCTGAATGGCCGAGTGTCTAGATGCTCTGGCGATCGGTACCATACGTTTCGGGTTCGAATCCCGGTGGTGACACGGATGTATGTAGTGGTTCGGAATCCACTTTGAACCGTAGGTCCCGGTCTAACAGGATCGTAAAGCGTTGTGGGTCCGTAGCCTATCTTCAAGCTACAAGTACCTCCTGGGTAGCGCTCAATGAGTAACGTCGGTGCGCCGCTTGCCTTAAAGCTTAAAAGACGACTGTCAATGTCTTTGTCAGCTGCATTGTTTTATTCAACATCTGACTATTCCGTAAACTCTGAAGAAATTGAGTCGACTGAAACTTGAATCGGCGAGCGCTTTGAAGGCCATCCCTGCCGAGTATGCACTGAGGATTGGAAGAAAAAAAGTTGGCAACAGTGCGTTGTGTCCAGTATTGATTGTCCTTGACCGCCAGGACGGATTTTTACTTGATATTTATCATAAATATCCAGTTTGCATTTCAGTACAGTGTAAAACTCATATATTTGTGTTTAATGAGTAACGATTTTTTTTATTGGTTTCATTTGTCGCTCTACTGTCATTTTTTGCATACCTTAGGCTAATAAAACCGGGACCTACAGATTAACAGACAGTCAGCCTGAAAATATTGACTCTATGTCCCTGTTCCCGGCGTACATAAATGACTATAAATAAGTGTTCCCCAAATATATATATATATATTAAAAAGAATGAATGAACATACTTAAAAACAAAGGCATTTTATTTGTATTTTTAGCACTTTCAATTCTCCACTTAAAAAAGAAATTTCATATTTAAAACACTCTGACCCGAGAAACAAACCAGTGCCCTCAATGGATTCAGAGGGGGTAAAATAATTAGAATTACATTTGAGAAATGGGATGGTTTGATTTGTCTGCCAAGACCTTTTTGCCGACTGCAGATTACGAGACAGATAGTTTTTTTTCCCAAAGGTAGAGTTGTCAGCACTACGCCCAACGCTCTACAGTCATATTATATAGGAACTACGGTTTAAAGTGGATTCTGAATCATTACAAACATCCATGGCACCTCCTGGGCTCAAACCCGAAATCTGTGGCATCAGTGCGGTAGTCACTCGGCCATAAGGCCCCAAAGATTTGGTTTGGTACGGTCATTTTGTGCACACTTTAGGTACATTAGACCGGGACCTACAGTTTAACGTGGATTCCGAACCCCTCACAAACATCCATGTCACCGCCAGGATTCGAACTTGAAGTCTGGGGGTACAGAAATGAGGTGGAGTGCAGGTAACAGGAAGTCGAACATTTTTAAACATTTTGCTCTTAAAAATTTTATTGCTTACATTTCATTGCTCATAGAAAATTGTACATTTCAACACTGAATCAGGTTTTCTTTCAAATTTGCTTGTAAGGAATTAAGTTCACGGACATGCGCAATATGGAATATATGGGACACTACGAACAGTTTGGATCCATAGATTTTACCCTGGCTCCTTGATCCTTTTCTATCCTTCACCTAACCTGAAAAGCG